TATATCATATTACATTATAATTGTTTTCATTTTCCCCAAATTGCTGATAATAGAAAGCAAAGAATGTTTTTCTCTCCTGCAATGTTTTTCATTTTTTTTCTAAGCGATAAGCATCTTCTACAATTATGATCTAATTTGTCGTGTACTTTTTTCCAACCGCCACAACTGTGCGTATGACATCAACCTGAACTGCTCAACTGCTAATATCAGGGTGTAAGTATTTGAAAACTATTTGAAAAACCAACACAATTAAATAGTCATTAACTCAGTGGAAAATGTAATGGATAGTTAGTTGGTTTGGTAAGACGAACTGGGCCATGAAATGTTTGCTGAGTGCTCTGATAAATGAATTGTTTGAAACAATTGGCACGTACTTAAATGTCCTTTAAAGTTCATATTACATTGAGGAACTGGCAGCGCCTCGGACGTGAGACGACCTTAATTACAACCAGCAAAATACATGTTAAACATGACATTTTTCATGTGCCGGCGATCGATCAAAACGACAGCTACTGGATGTGCCAAAAGATTCCGGTTGTTCACTGTCCGCAGGTCTACAGGTCTACCTGTCTAGAGGTCTACAGGTCTACCGAAGGCCTGGAAGTCTGCGTGGCAGCTCGTGTCTTATCAACGTAATATCGAATTTCGATCAAAAACGCCTTCGAGCGACTTCTTTGCAGGCCACATCGTTTTTGGCGCAAAAAATGTATAAAACGGAGCGAATGTAGCTGTGTACATGAATGGCAGGCAGGCACTGTTGCCAGCCCACATTCCAGCTCGCATGACCCTCATTATCATAGTTGGCACCATTAGGGGAAGCTACAAACGTGTCCTGGCCAGGACATTCACTCCGCGACTGACATCAGCCATAGGCGTCCGAGTGCATCTGCCACTGACTCCGTAATTGCCGTTGAGACCTGCCAAAATGTATTATTAAATTGTTAAGGCGCAATGTCAGCTCCACTTGAAAGCTATGTTTAGCAGTTAATAATAAGCTAAAGCCCAACTAGTTCCATAATCTTTCTTTTTTTTTTGCGTTAACTACATTCCGTTTGTCAGCTTGTTTATTCAGCAATTATTTATACAGATATCTTCATTCTCTGTTGTTGAGAAACTAATTTTATTTCTTTCTCTTTACATGTGCCACTCATATTGGACTGTGACTATCTATGAACTTGCGGTTAACAGTATGTAAGTATAATTTATGCAATCTAATTGTTGAGTAAATCAGCAGTGATCGATGTAGTAGACTTGCTAATCATAACTTTAATAATGTGGAAAGGGTAGAGAATATGAGATGAGAAGAAAGCTCAATAAGGAGATCAACAGTGATCAACATTGTTAACTTGATAATCGTAGTTGTAATTAGAAAGAAAAGGAAAGCAATGAAAAGGATATCAGCAGTAATCGACTTGAAGATCGGTGAGGAGAGGAGAGAAGGAGGAGGAGGAGAAAGGAGCAGACATATCAAAGAAAAGATCAACAGTGATCGAGCTAGAAAAGTTGATAATCCAACGATAAGTACTTTGGAGAAAAAGGGCAAATCAATGAAGAGAATGATCAAAGAGAAGATCAACAGTGATCAAGCTAGAAAAATGCAAAACTCCTTTGATCAATGCTGTAAAAAAGTGAGAAGAGATTGGAGTATTAGGAATAGAAGATCAATGAGGAGATTATTGTTCACATACGTATATATAGACAGACATCAAACTCTGACAAACTTTAGGCAAATCCAATGCACTTCACGTAATAGTCAACTATCTCAGAGAGCTTTGCATTCAAGTAAATTTGTTCACATTTCGATACAATGCTTCTGTGCTGTGTTCTTTGTGCGCGCTGTAGATTATCATCGCAAATTGCTATCTGGGCTCTCAATCATCTATTGTCATGGCCCTGATCCAGATGAGCAAATACCATCACAGCATTTTTACCATATCGGATTCCAGCTGTGACACCTTCACAACTACTTTGCACTCTGTGGACCAAACGAGTGACAAATATTTGGGCCATCCTCTTATGATCGTGAGGCACTGTAAGCCAGGACCATGGCTGGCTGTCTCACGACCTGGACATACGTACACTCTCTGTGTGTACCATACTCCTGGAATTCCTGCACAATGCGTTTCCAGCAGCAGCAGCAGCTGGATTCCCTTCAGCATCGATCGCCAACACCGTCGGATGCCTCCACGACTTGGTAGCTCAGGCTGTGGCTCTGGCTCTGGCTCTGACACTAACTCTGGGTCTGGAGAGCAAATCGCTCTGTTTGTTTCTCGTTGGCCATCCACACACACACACACACACTCACACACAATGCAGCCACAGACTGAACGAGACGCAAGAATTTATGGCATTTCACTGTCAGAGACGCAGAATTTCTGTCCCTTGCCACCATTAATGGAATGGACAATAAATTTAAACGTGCAGACGGACAACATGCCATATGTAAAGAGCCTAAGCCAGCCCAAAGCCCCAAGGCTCAGCTCTAGAGGCGACATTCACGAAATGGCCAAAATCGCAGCTCTTTACTTTGCGCGTGAGACGATTTGTAAATCCAAGCCGAGCCACTCTTGGCTTTTGCATCCTGTCTTATGACAAAGCGATAATCACAATCTCATGACTTCACACCTCATTTGAATTGTTATCAGAAACTTATTAAGCATCGATTCTCATGGGCAACATTTTCAATAGGGTATATTGCGCCCTTGGACATTAGACAGAACATTAAGAAAATGGGTTTATTTGATCCGGAAATGTTATGAGAAGGCTAATTTGATGTTGATTTTTAAATGAGAAAGAAAATTGAAATGTTTAAGAAAAACAAATAGATTATAAATAAATTAAATCTTAGTATAGTTGCAAAATATTAAAATACAAAAGATCACAGCTTACAAGTTTGAATTCGTATGCTCTTCGGCCTTTCGTCTCAGGATCGCGTTATGTGCATCTAAGCCTAAAGAATAGCTCTATTTGAAAATGACAATTATTCACATTATTTTGGATAATTATCTCATTTATCCCTGAAATCATTTTAGGTTTCTTAAAACAAACCTCTTAAGAACTAAAATATTTGCATAATTTCAGAAAAGTGCACATCAAGTACTTATACAGCTTAAGTAAAGGATCTCAACGTTACTTCACCTGAGGAAATACATATCGTAAATCGGCAGACAATGTTGATAAGATAGTCGTAGCTGTTTGTGTGTAGCTTCTGTTCTGTGGGCACATTTCTCCACGAAATGCTAAGACAATGGGCTGAGATTAAATGCCAAACAGTGCAGATTAAGATGCATCGAACGCGAATAGTAGCTACATACATACATGTATGGATGTGGATGTACATATGTATGTATGTCAGGGCAGTCCCTGGGCTGGCTGCAGCTTCAAACTGCGAGAGACACGATACAAATTTCCCTTGAAAAGAATTACATACCGATCGGCAGCGGGAATTGGCTGTAGCTCTATTTGTACTGTCAACCTCTCCTCTCGCTCTCTCATCTGCGTCTCTCTCTCTCTCTCTCTCTCTCTGTTCGATTTCAATGTTGTCCCAGTGTCTCTGAATCTGTTGCTGATGCAGTCTGCTGCCGCTCGGCTTGTTTGTCTTTGCCGTTCAAGAAAAAAGTGACCGTCTTCATTGTCAACACATGGTTTTGTGGTACGTCGTGGTACGTAGCATTGCCGTGGCAAACAATTCTATAGAAAATCATCGTGCACTCGCGGCGATCGCCTGGCTCAGTCTCTTATCTGAGCGGCCCGAATCGTTGCGCCTTACTAAATTATTATGTTAACATGAAAATAATTGAGGCAAAAGGTATTCACCATTCGCCATTCGGCATTCGGCAGTGGCTGGCCAATTTATTTATATCGTATAATCTTGAGCTCAGTGGAATCCTTGTTCTCCATTTCGATGGAGCGACAGCAATTGATGGCCGAACAAATAGTTCCAGAAGTGCAGCATATTGGGACACCGACGCCCTGCTGCTCGTTAACCGTCTCTCTCTCTCTCCCTCTCTCCCTCTCTCCCTCCATCTCCTTGCTTATATTAATATATATATACATATATATAATATGGCATTGTATCGGCTAACGATTAGTCAGTTTACTAATTAAGCTCTACTCCTTGCAGACCGCTTTACACTGGGCTGCCAAGCATGGGAACGAGGATGTGGTCAAGCTGATTGCCGGCACCTACAAAGCGGATGTCAATGCCCGAACGGTGAGAGCTCCAAATATCTATAATATTTAAATATTTGAAGTGTTTTTGATTTTAATTCGCATGTTGTCTGTCCAACTGTCGACGCATACATCTATATATTGGCTGCAGCATGGGGTAAGTGTTTTTTATCAAATACTTTTTAATAATATATACGAATCGAAAATCGAGCATCGAGCATCGCGCTTCGAGTGATTGAGCCTTGTCACAATCACGCGAAAATCTGCGTCACATGTCGCACGGCAAAACACTTCTTTAACCCTTCCCATGAGGCAGCGGAGAGCCCAGCCAAGCTGTGACAAATCGTGACGAGCAAATCCAATTGTGCCACAACACGTGCCCCTTCCCCTGGCTCCGGCCTCCTGCCACTGCCTTTGTCTATGCATGCGAGTTTACACAATTTTAAATTGAAACGTTGCCGTTGTTCGAAACAAATTAAGTTCCCTCAAATGTTTTCCAAATGTCTGTCTCCAAAAATTGAGACAAAGTGAATTGTCAATCACGACGAATGTGTTACATTCAATTTAATATGAATTTCCAACTGATTTGTTACGCATCTTGCCAAAAGGGTTCCAAGTGAAGGTATTATAATATGCCAAGTAAGAAAGCTCGAGTCGAAACTGCTCTTCGAAGGACTGATATTTCAATAATTCTTCGTTTCTTTTATGCTTATACGAGAAAGAGCATACGCACAAACTCACAGAAATTGAAGCAGACTATAGAGAAATACTAGTGCTTAAGAGAACTATAGAACAGAAGAGACTGATGTCTATGCCATCTAATAATCATAAATGTTAATGTACACAAGGTTTCTAGCATATCAAATACAAGAGACGGAGAAAATGTACTGAAGGTCATTTAAGTTGTCTATGTATGCAATAGTATTCATTTGGCATTTATATTTGAGTAAAACGACACTAGAATGCTTGCAGCAGCAGAGAGTCTTCCCATTGGTCACTTAAAGCTCGACTGAAACGTTCTCTACCTGTCGTCGTTCTCTCTGAGCGCGACCTTGACTTTGAGTGAAAGGTGCCCTATATAAAGGGCAGCAGCTGTAGCATTTCTTCAGTCGCCCAGACCTGCTGGGGGTCAGTCGTACAGTGCAGTAGAGTGAAGTGAAGTAAAGTGTGATCGTTCAGCTAAGCATTAAAGACTTGGAGGAAATACTTGGAAGACATTCTTAGTGGACTTTTTCTTTTCCTGCACCGCAATTTGAAACAACAATACTATCTCCATTCTATCAAAGTCTCTTTACTAGTTTCTAATCGAATCAAATATTGTTGTCTTGCTTAATATGCTAACTGTTTATAGCCTCCACTGTTTAATGATCTTGATCTGATTTTTCTTTTATAGGGCTACACACCGCTACACTTGGCTACACAATTCGGAAGGCATAATATATTCGAGCTACTATGGAATGTTTATAGTATGTATAGTAATTAATACTGAATATATGAAAAATTATAAATAGTTATTGATTCAATCATACTAACATATCTACTCTTGCAGAGGCTAATCGCGACATTATGGACTGGAGTGGCAATAAGCCATTGGACTATAGTCAACAGCGACCCAGTGTTTCGGCCTCAACGTGCAGCAGTGAGTATCAAAAGTATTTCCTTGGCACGGAGCTAAACAACAACTACCAACTGGGATACCAGCACGTTCTTGAGACTCCACTCTCAAGCTCTGGCAATGGCGGTGGCAATGGGATCATGGGCGGCACACTCGGCAGCGCACTAACACGTGGCAAGAAGCGATCTCAGCTGCGCAGCTATGCCACTATTAGCAAAGGCTCGGGTTTTGGTACTGTGACTCGTACGCAATCTCTATTGGCATCGCCATCATCATATCACCGCTATAAAAAGCCATCGGTGCAAAGTTTGCTCGATAAAGGACCCAATGATGACAGCGATTCAGAGTCCACGCAGCGACGCGACAAACGAGAGTCTGGCGAAGCCGGCGAGCTGGCGCCAAAGTCCCAAGCGAGCAGAGTACGCAGTATTCACACTCGGCGCAAAGAGAGCTTCTTGCGTAAAACGTTTCGGTCCGCTGCCGGGTCGAGCCGAACCCCACAAGATGTTGTTACTAACCCAACTAGCAATTAATCCCAGCATGCGCAAAAATAACCTATGTACTATTTACTATATAACTTACACTGCAGTCGAAAATAGCTATGTATATAGATTATGTATATATCGATATGCCCAGTTATAGCCATAGCATTAGCAAATGTATTAACAAAGAAACTATAATGTAAAGCTAAGCTGTTGCGTCGAAAACAAACTATCAGCTTATATATAGAATATGCCGATCCACCAAAAAAAATTTTAATTTACATAATTCATAATTTATAGCCATATATGTATATTAAAGTATTAACCGAAGCTTGAATTAAAAATTAAAATAAAAAACGCATAACCATTATATATATCAAGTAACCTTATATTAAAGAATATATAATATAAAACATATGGCTGGTCAGGGCATTAGAAAACAAGAATTATTTCGAACAATAACTAAAAGCTGCCTCTTCAGGCGTTTCATCTGATTCACTTGCCCATTGTTAGGCTTCCAGGCAAGACCATGTACAGTCTAGATTCTAGTTTCACCTTTGTGTTGCATGTTATTTAACAATATATAATACGCTTTGCCAGAGTTTTTTTAAATTATTTAATACTGTTATAAAGAACTTCTTGAGTTTTACCTACCCAAGCAATTCTTCCTTTGTAATACCTTCATTTTTCATACAAAACGGTATTCAAACTGCATGCCTAATCTAAATTTGTATTGAATAATTGTGTTATTCCTGCAACTGATCGCAAATACAATGATCAGCGAGTGCTCAAGTGAGTCAAGACTTGACAACTTAATAACATTAACTAACTTCTGTGGAGTCTGGCAAGTCTTGAATGACATCGAGACTACCCCTTCTACTATCCCTTCTACTTCTCAAATATCTAAACAGAATTTCTGGGCACCTCTCTCTCTATATTTATTTTCATTATTGCAACGTGTAGAAATTCAAGCGATGCGGCTCAACTCAAACGGACTCAATGGAACCTGGAGGCAGGTTGACTTAACTAAAGATTTTGAATGTTTGCCAACGATTAATGTTCAATAAAATTTGGTTTTTTGTTCGTTCGCCTGTTAATATGTATATATACATTATGATTTTGAAAATTATCTTTAAATATTGTTAAAAATGCTTTTGTAGCACACTTAAAATTAATTTAGTTTTTAAAAGCATTTGCTGCCTGTTTTACTTGTTTTCTTTGCTTGGTAAGTTTTTTATTTATTTTTTAATTCTCTAATTCGCAAACCTCATTTTGTCCTTCCAAACAAAACAAAAAATGTATAATATTGTTATGGTTTACATATTTATCATCTTTAATTGCTAATAGCATGTGCATGTTTAGTTCTTCTATAAAAAAAATGTGTTAAATAATAAATATCTTTAATTTATCTTTGCAGAAATCAAGGCACGAAAAAAGCATGCAAGTAAGTACTAATTCGAATTCGTAATATATAAATTCTAAATGGATTCCATCATATTTTCAGTCGAAAAAGATTTGGGCTTCCTGCGGATTGGTTCGTTGAATGTCCGGGTAAAGAAAACTACCGAAGCGTTCAGCAACTTCTTGGGAGTGGGCAATGGCAATGCCCTGACGGCGTATGGACCTGGCGGAGTCTCCGGAGCAGCCCCAATCGAAGCGGGTCGCCATCACCAGCGAACTCACCGTCACCATCATCAGCGTCATCCACATCATGCCAATGGTACGACACGGGATCGGCATCCGAATCAGAGAGCGTCGACGACAATACCATACGGGTCGACTAATGTGCTGGGCTCCCGGTCCAGTGTGCCAATCAATCGGAATATATATGACGCTGTACACAAATCGTGGGGCTCAGCCGATAATATAACACAGCGTCCCGACACGCTAATGCCACCACCGAAATCGGTTGACTACGTCTCGAAGCGTTACAAGTCTTCTAAACGTTCATCGTATGCCTCGAATGCCACTGACTCACCCCGTGACTCCATTTGCTCCTCAAACTCCAGCTCGAACCTTAACTCTGGCTACAGCAGCATGCCAACTACTCCAAATCAAATACGTGCTCCTAAGAACATTGGAATCACAGCCGATTCCGATTCGGATTCAGCTTGTGGATTTGACTCCAATTGGTCTGTCAACGGTCGTAATTCAGTTAACAATAATATCCTAAGATCCTAAATTCTAACAAGTTTATAAATTTTTTAAATACATTTCATAAACGAAACACCAATAATTCCATGAGGCATTATCTAATATAAGAATACAAAATTGAAGGGTTTACTTTCTAATACTGAAACGTAATGTACTACTAGATATGATATCATATATATTATATATATCACTTTGATGTCTATAAAAGAATCTCTCAAAAAATAAAAAATGTTAAAAGGCAATCACCTATTGAAACAACTATATATATTCATAAAATTTTACAAGACATAGAAAATGCAATGTTTTCATTTGGAATCATACAAATAAAAGTAATCAAAGATTCAGAAGCTCTGTTAGTATTCTCTTCGTGTCATTTGGAGTGTTAACTTTATGTCCTTTAAGGCGAGGATCGATATAGATCTCGTAATCATTGCCACCCGGTTCGGTCTTATCGCCAAAGAAATGAATTTCTTTGAAATTGTGATACGCCTCGATGTGGCGCAGACAGAAGGTCTTATCCCAACCATGAGGGAACACATCGAAGCTTATCTGGCCGCCAATGCTGTACGTAAGATCGATATCTGCAAACTCCTCCTTCAGCTTGGCAATCATTGTCGATCGAACCTTGTGCTCCTCATCGTAGGCAGCAAACATGTTGCGCTCCTCCCTGGTGCACTGTCGACCAATTGGGCAGATGTTCATCATGCCGTTGCGAAACTCAATAAACGTTCCACGTTTAATGGGCAGCTCCAGCTCCGAGAGGTATCGCAGCACATAGTTGATGAATCGCTGCAGAGTTTTCTCGCCCAAATGCTGTATAATATTTTGTTTGCCCACTTCTTTGCCAGCTTCGATTTGCACCAGACCATTTTCGGGGAATATAAAGTCAAACTCCTTCAATATCTTCTGGCCATTCAGCTGCTCGAACATTTTTTCCAGATCCGAGCCACCAACAATGCCAATGGTTGCCTTTGGCTTCACTTTTGTATAAAGGAACTCCTCAAACTCGGGCTGCACCACTGAGCGGGGCATAGTCAGGGTGCCATCCACATCGAATAACAGCAAAATATCCTCGCGCTTTGACATTTTAAAACAGACGAAAAAGAAACCCCACAGTTGTTACTCAGAATTGACCACGTATGTGTAAATAAACTGGATTGAGTCAGCTGTTTAAATGGAACTGATAAGAATGTCAAGCCGGTTGCGATGTTCACGCTACGATCATTTCTTATCGAATGCAAAGAAAGCTTGAAATTTTTAACTTTTTTTGTACGTACATATATTTATTATCAATTGGTAAGCCGGTCAATTACAAATACATATGCAAAATGCGTTAAAATCAGCTGTTCACATTTCTTTGCGCAATAATTAGTTATGGTATAAGAATAATAATATTTATTTACACTTGAGGATATATCGCAATGTAATACATATTATTTGCACTATTATATACTTTTATTTAGCATGGCTGCTGATATGCTCTTGTAGAGATTTATATTTTTTTGAGTTTATCATGGGATCCACAACAACTGGATATAGAGTAATTCCAATTGCTCCGACAATGCATGACACAAAGCCAACAAATCTCCAACCGCGTAAAGTTGCCATTAGACTGCAAAACAGAATTAATATAATTCTAAACTTATTTAATTATTTACTATTATAAAACAAACACCTGCTTGATGCGCAAATGGACTAAAAATTGACAAAATTCCTATGCAAACATCGTAGCTAACACTATCGCATATTCTATCGATGACAAAGGAAAAACACAAACAAGTATCGATTACCGTAGCAGTTGCGGGCGTGTCGTTGTTGTTAGGTTCATTTCGTTTGTAATTATTTTTTGTTTAATATATATTTAAACTAAATGTGTACTGCTATAAAAGTGTAAAATGGCTAGATTATTGCTTATATGTTTACTAAGCGCAGTTTATTTAATTACAACTTACGGTAAGTCCAATTTCATTTGTCTAGCTCGCTGACTAAACATTGGGCGTTGCTGCATGTAAAACATACATATATTTTGTATGCGTGTGTTTGTAAGTGTGTGTGTACGCATGTAAGTCTGATTTAATAAGCCATTCTTCTAGCTAGATTTGAACAATAAGTATTTATGCTGTCAAAATGTAGCTTAGATGAAATGTGTAGCAAATAATATTATCTTTTATATTAACTAAGCGTAACAAGTTTTTACAAAATTGTCAATCTCTGTGCGTAGCTAATTTAAAGCCAACATTAAAACTATTAATAATGTATTTATGATTATAGCACAACATCACTATTCTGAAGATAAAATTAGCAATATTATTTGGTGCACAAAAGGCCAGGAGGAGCAGTACAAATGCCAGAATTTAACCGTTGCCATCGAACGGGATCGTGCACTTTTCGATGATGTCTTCTTGAACCTCACCTGTCTTATGGCATACAGTGCCGATGAATGTATTCATCTCCTGGATCGCGAGAAGGCACATATCACCACACTGGATGCTGGAGATGTCTTTACCGCCGGTCGCTACAACTCCTTGATTCCCATAATGCAAGAGAAATTGGAAGGCGGATTCCTGGATTATCATTCAGTGGCCGTTATAAAGAAGAACACTTTAACCGACGTTACGGATCTGCGGCAGTTGCGCCAAAAGAGAGCCTGCTTCCCCTGGGTGGGCAGTTTAGCTGGTTGGATAGTGCCCATATATACGGTGCGAAGAATGCTTAATGTTGTCTAAGTAAATATTTATTAATATGCTTTCATTCATCTTTATTTCAGCTGCAACACAATGGTGGAATGGAGGTTGTAGATTGTAATAATCAAGTCAAAACCGCTGCCAACTATTTTAACAGCTCCTGCGCTGTGCACTCGTTGATTGATAGATACAACCCCATCGGAGATAATTCTGATAAGTAAGTAGAATTAAATCTTTATATACCGATCATTTCACATTTAGATTATTACCTTCAGACTTTGTGCTCTGTGTACTGGCAAAATACCTGGACGCTGCTCGTCTACTGATCCTTATTTTGGCTACGATGGTGCTTTCCGGTGCCTTCTGGAAGCGGGCGAGGTAGCATTTTTGCGTCACTCAACGGTTTCCGAAATGCTACAAACATCCGAATTTAGTGAGTAGTCCACCAAAACGTATAATATTATATATTTCATCTATTATTCCCGTTTAGAAAAACTGTCGCCAGACACCTTTCAGTTGCTCTGCCGCGATGGCAGTCGTGTGCCCATCAGCGACTATCGCCAATGTAGCTGGGGTCAAATTCCCTCAGATGCCATTGTAACTTCCTCAGCGCGTAGCTTCAAAGAGCGTAATCAATATCAGCAATTTCTGAAACGCGTCGCTGAGCTGTATTCAGACGCCATTCGCGAGGAACCCAATCAGCCTCAGACAGGCGGAGGATACAACGCATACAACGGCAACAACTATAACGATCAGAATCGCAATAACTACAACGATCAAAGCCGTAATAATCCATACGATAGTTTCAACAGTCAGTACGACAACAACAATCCCTACACTAGAAATCAGAACCAAAATCAATATGATCGATTTGATGGCTCGAATTATCGCAATGAACGGCTAGACAGCAGCTTTACCACAGAACGCGGTGGACTTGAGGGAAACACCTCAGTGCCTTATGAGAAATTCCGCATTTTTGAGTCGAGGCGATATGGCAAATCCAACCTGCTCTTCCAGGTAACAGAAAAAAATTTGTAATAAAGTATTTTAATCTAACACTCCAATTGAACTTCATAGGATGCAGCCAGAACCCTTGTTTCCATACCAGAGGATGATCAATCCTTTACCAAATATTTGCAAAGAGCTATTGACTACATATACGGCATTCGTGAGTGTCCCGTTCCTGCAATGACGCTATGTGTGACTTCTGAGCCAGAGCTGGAAAAATGCATTAAGATGAGAGTAAGTTAGATTAACCTTATCCTTAATCTCAGTTCAATAATAAGTGATTTCCTTCTCTAGACCGCACTCAAAGCACAAATCCTAAAACCCGAGCTGATCTGCAAGAAAATGCATTCGCACATAAACTGCATGCAGTTGATACAGTCTGGAAAGGCTGATATATCTGTGTTTGATGCTGGAGATGTCTATACGGCTGGCTTGAACTACGACTTGATTCCATTCATGTCTGAGGTATACAACTTGGGTGAGCCTGAATACTATGTGGTGGCTGTGGCCAAGGAGGAAGATCCCGATACGGAGCTTACATATCTAAAGGGCAAGTACACATGCCACACAGGCATCAATACAGCCGCCGGCTGGACATATCCGATGGCCTTCCTCCTCTCGAACGGTTGGATAAGACCCTATGGCTGTGACTCGATACGCGCTGCAGCAGAATACTTTACCAAATCTTGTGTGCCCGGTGCTATAAGCAGTGAATACAACACTGGCGTCCCGTATGACAGTATGTGTGACCTGTGCCATGGAACCAGCTATAGATATTGTAGACGTGACGCATCAGAGGATTACTATGGACACACTGGTGCCTTCCGCTGCCTCGTCGAAGGCGGTGGCCATGTGGCATTCATGAAGCACACCACTGTCATGGAGAGCACCGGAGGCAAGCGCAAAGAGTGGTGGGCCAGAAACGCCCTTAACGACGACTTTGAATTGCTGTGCACCGATGGTACTCGCGCCGAGCTCCAGGACTACAAACGCTGCAATTTGGGCAAAGTGAAGGCCAATGCTGTCGTTACCCGAGGCGGCGTGAACTACAATGAGACACAATTGCATGCATATATCAACCTGCTGACCTATGCTCAGCAGCTGTATGGTCGCAAGGACGTGGATGCCTTCAGTTTCAGCATGTTCTCATCGCCCATTGGACACTACGATCTAATCTTCCAAGACGCCACACGCCAACTGCAAGTCATTCCGCCAAACGAACGACGCTACGACACCTATTTGGGTGGAAATTACATGAGAGCACGTCGCATCACCGATTGCTATGCCAGCGCCACTCAGTTCACCTTCTCCACATTCCTGCTCCTAGCGAGTGCATTTGCTCTAAGAATTTTACTCTGATTGCATGAGGGGAATCTCTCAATTTCTATATCATACTCCAAATAGGGTAACCTTACCCATATTGACTCGTAACAATTCGAATATCCATTACGAATCTCACAACAAATGACAAACAAACATATCTAAGTGTACACCAAACAGAGAGTTCACAGTGTAATTTGTCGATCTGACCGATTCTGACTAAAGTGCCTTAAAATCTACTTTAAACAAGTTCATTGTTTATACAAATTTCAATTATCATTCCAAGTGTCAGCTACAAATTATACTATACACTAAATGTACAATAATTTAATATTAAGTTATAAAGATCAACTTTACAAATCAGAGTACAATTTTGTAGTCTACAACGTTCAACTCCGTCCTCTAAATTTAAATTATATTGTATTTTACAAACCGTCCAAGAACACATTTTATCTACAAGTCTAAAGTGTAATACATTGTATTGTTTTTTATATACTATCAGAATTATACATACATAGATATATTGAATAAACTTTTTTAGATTGAATATTGTCTTCTTTTCTTCTATAAATAAATGATCATACGTGCACACCATTTAAATGTAAATGGTTTTTGAAAAAGCAAATTCAACAAATGGTCAATGGTGACGTCAGTGGTGTGGTGAAACCGCGTCTGCAAACGTTTCAATGGTATTGACACTTTCTTCCTCTTCACATTCATTCAGCTGGTTCGCGCACTGACACGCGTTGCTTTTCGACGGTTTCTTATATGTGGGCTACTTTTAGTACAACAACAAGGTGAAAACGGAAAGTAGTTTTGCGACTGGTTGCGAGTTTTCACAAGGATAGTCAGTGCCACAGAGATATCGAGTCAGCCATTCAGTTATCAACATGTCTATCAATTTGCGCACCGTTTACGCTTTTGCGAGAGAAATGTATCCAAAAGTATCAAAGGAAACCATTCAATACGGAACAGCTGGGTTTCGCGGCAAGTGAGTTTACTTACCCCTTAGTTACATACATACATATAAATTGCCTCATACATACAAATACATATGTCCAATTGGGTGAATGTCCACGCCCACACCCAAGCAAACAAACACGACATACACACACACACACTCACCCGCATATTGCTAGATAAGTGTGCATATGCATGTATGTGTGTCTTTTAGGGAGTGGTGAAGATGAGTAAGGCGATGCACTATTTTGGCATTCAGTTATATTAATAGAATTTAATGCTTTATCAATGGACATGCACCTTTTAAAGGTACCTGAGTATGGCCAAACATCCATACATACATAATTAATATTAGTAAATGTGAGAAACGTTTCACGTCGTCAACAATATTTCAAATCCCATTTTTAAGAATTCGTTTATAAATATTATAAATTAAAATAAAGTAAAGTATATATTTGTACTTCTCATTAGGCAACTGAAAAGAACTTAACCTCCAATCAGAAAAAATCGTTCTTGTTGGCGGCTTATTTGAACGCCTAGAGGCAAAAACAATTGTTATGTTTAGTTACTCGTTCAAAGTAGAACACATAGATACACACATACATGGAAGAATATTATATACGTGCTGGACAGACTTTTCTTGCACGAATGCATTCGAATTTCGAAATGATAATAAAGACGTTCGACCGTTAACGATGAAAGATTACATAGAGAGACTA